ACCCCGCCACTGGCAGTTCGCATGACCTGCCAGCATCAGACTGGCAGCTGCCACCAGCCATTGGCAGGTCACATGACCTGTCAGTGGTGGCTCCTGCCAGCCAGTTGAAGATTGAACCCCCACTCCAGAAAGACTCACAACAAAGATGGACAGATACGACAGCTACAGATGTAAACAGGGGGGTTAAAATAAAGGAGAATGTTGGAAGCTGGCAAATTTGAAGAACCTGATAAAAGAAAAAAAAAACATTCAGAATTGAACTCCTTACATGTTTACCAGTATTTTCTTCATCAGTGTTGGCAGATTGGGACGTTTTCGACTGGTTTTGAGTTGTACTACGTGGGATAAAATGGGTATGGACAGATGGAATTTTGATATTTCTGTTGTACCCTTGTATTTCTTTAAGGCAAATGACAGACATGGAAAATAGTTTACAACGTAGCCTTCTTTATAGAAGAACACTTAATCTGCTTTATAATGACATTGAAAAATTGTTGATATTGTTGTAGGTATGAATTAATTTGTATTGTTTATTATTGGTAAGATTTGTGTGTTTATTATATAATTCTGTGTGGATTTTGAACAATTAGTGGAAAACACACCAATCTGGCAACACTGTTCTTCATCTGAACATTTATAAATGGCTGAAGTGTTGTGAGCTTCTGTAATAACTGAAAACACATCACAACTAAAAATCATACAATCTCCTATGATATTACCTTGCATGATTAGATGTGAAAAAAATAAACCTGAATTTAATTAGCTAACTTAGCTAGCCTACTACACATTTGGTGCTGCAAATTATATTTATATAATGTCTGCTGTCATTTACTGCATCACGAAACTGCTACCTTGCACTTCTAAAGGTTCAAAACACAACTTCAACAGTTTTAGTTCCATAAATTTAAGGATTGTTCCCATCGATATTAACAGAAAAACATCCAGTTCCCATCTATAATAATACAAAAACATATACCTGCACATATCTTAAACCGCTTTCCTGTAGCTAAGTAGAGCTTGACTAACAATGCCAAATTAATGGGTCCAATTCCCAGAGGAAGCATGCATTAGATGAATAAAGAAATGCATGCGTCAAAAAATAAATAAATAAAGGAATGTATGCACTAAGTAAATAAATGCATGCATGCATGCATTAAATAATGTATCCATAAAATAAAGAAATGCATGCATTAAAAAATAAAGGAATGTATGCATTAATTAAATAAATGCATGCATGCATGCATTAAATGCTGTTCTACTTACCGAGTGGAAAATCGCAGTGGACCTTGGGATCGCGCCATACAATGACGTCAGCGCCACTGATTGATTGATTTATTAATAAACAAATTCAAATAAATAATCAATCAATAAATAAATCGATCAACAGATAAATAAATAAATAATAGGGCTGATTGCATCGCATTGCGCTGATTAATCATTGATTAACCAAACATAATCACAGCACATTAAATACGTTTATCAACAAGCCTGCAACAAAAATACCAACATTACCCAGTGCGTTAAAACATGACGCCAATGGATCCTGACCAAGCGTCCATATGTGACGAGTTGGGAGTGAGAACGTGTAGCAACACGTGTAGGCAGAGTGGGATCTGATCACACTGTCATTGGCTGATACCTCTAGACTCCGCCCACTCCTCCTCCTGCACCAATGAGAGCAGCCGATGCCTCATTGATCAGTCAGATGATACAGTGTTTCTCAGAATGTTTCTCTTTCTGTCGGTTCTCTCTGGTAATGTAATGTTTTCCTCTTTGCTCTCTTCTTCTGAAAAGCCTCTTTTGTAGTGATGGCGAAGTGAAGCGTTCTGAACCAGTGAAGCTTTCATCACAATTGTACTCGAAGCTTTTTAAAACGGTTTATGCTGTGGCCATCTAGTGGTCATAAAAATAAATAACTCCTTCCAACAGCCAGTGGTTTCACATCTTGTTCTACAACTGATTTTTTTGTTTTATTATATTTTATAAAAAATAATGTTTATTGTCAAAGTCATTCATTTGTGTCGGTGTGCTTGCACTAAAATAAGTAAAAAAATTCTAACACATTATAATGTAATGTAAAGGAAAGGCGTTGAGGTTCGCTTCGTTTGAACCAGATACTGAAGCAGTCACGTGCTTTTCTCAAAACGAATCAAGCTCCGATACAGTGCTTTAAAGGGGTCATATGATGCGATTTCAATTTTTCCTTTCTCTTTGGAGTGTTACAAGCTCTTGGTGCATAAAGAAGATCTGTAAAGTTGCAAAGACTGAAGTCTCAAATCCAAAGAGATATTCTTTATAAAAGTTCAGAGTCAGCCACACCTACCTAAAACGGCTCGTTCTAACACGCCCCCACATGTCTGCGTCACGATGTGGGAAGATTTGCATAACGCCGCCCAAATGTTCACGCAAAGAAAGAAGGCGTAACTTTTAGTCTGGCTGTAGTTTTGTTGACGCTGCTGCCATGTCGTGAAGATGCTGTGTGATTCGTTGTGAAAGCTAAACTACTTTGTTTGGTATTCCAAAAGAGGACATGACTAGAAATCAGTGGTTAAGTTGTATTCATCATATGACCCCTTTAATGTGAAATGTGTTGTTTTTTGATACAAGCTTCGAAGCTTCAGTGTTGAACGTACCATCACTACTCTTTTGAGTTTTTGTTTTGTGAAGCTATATTTGAGTTTGTGGCTCTCCAGAGAGTGTTTTCTCAAAGAACCCTTGAGACGAACGTAAAGAGCTGTTCACCATTTCTTTTGGAGATTTTCTGTATATTGTTAAGTTTGGTTTTGAAAATAAATTCATATGCAGGCACCGTTTATTTTTCTACGGAACTAATGTGCAAACATGTAAGTAGAGTAGAAGCCTTTAGGGTTTGAAATTAAGAAATTATATTGGGCTACTGAAACACTTTTACCATGTCTTTTCCTGTAGAAATAACATATTTTTAATGTACTTGAACCAAAGCTGCAAATGGTATTAAGGCTTGTTTTCAGAGCTTTTATCTTGAATAAATTTTGTCCTCTGCCACAGACAAATGTAAACAAATGAAAAGTAAAATCTGCCAGTACAACATGTTCTGATTATAACTCTCACTTCATTCATTATTGTGTCACAGTGAGGACAGATCCTGAGACATCAGGCTCTTTATTACATTAACATTCACAGCACAGTCAATCTAAA